CTGTCTCTTTGCCATATTCTTCAAGTAACCTATATTTGACAACAGCATAATAAAACTGGAAATTCTGTTTTTGGTGTGCCACCCCAGTGTTTTTGGGGACCCCTATAAGGCCACCCATATGAAAGGAATTCTGGAGGAGCTCCTGCCTGGATTGACTACAGGAAAGCCTACGACACAATCCCCATACATGGATACTTTAGAGCTTGGGACTGTACAAGGCTAATGCACTGATAACATTCAACAGGACCTTAATGGGACTGTGGAAGACAACACTGGAGGCTAACTCTAGAGCAATTGCACAAGTTATCATTAAGTATGAATACAGATATAGATTCAGGAGTGGAGTAACCATAACCCAAATCCGGTACATGACCCATGCTTTACACCAGAAGTGAGACAGTCATCAACTCACTGATGCACCTCACCAGGCAGGATCAGTGATATATGGACACACCTGAAGCCCATACATTTCTCTTAACTAACTTTAGGACATAATAATCTTTAAGGTAAGGTTATGTTAGACTAGATGTAATTTCCTGTATTAATATATTGCAAGAAATTTAAATATTTAATGTGTGAATATCAATATGTGAATCATATTCTGATTGTACATTAAGATTTTTGTCAGACTTCTAATCAGCAGAAAAATTTGGGGTTTGGGGATTTTGCATAAAGGGATATACATAAAGTATTAATATATAGAATGTCAACAACCTGAAAATGATTCATTTCACCTTTCACATTTCAATGTTGATGATGTGTATGGAAAAAATGTCTTTCTGAGGTTTTTGTTTGATGGGATTTGATCATATTTCTATGTCAGCATTAGGGTTAAATGTATTTAGTTGTTTTTTGTTTTGGTTTGCCTATTTGATATGCCTATCTTAAGATTAACTTGGACCAAATCTAACAGCCTAAGCACAGCCCAATTTTCAGAAACCATAAAAACATCCATGGATATCTGGTACTTAATGGGAAAAACTCAAAAATAAATTGAACAGCCAAAAATAGCAATCCCACATGAGGCTTGAATTTCTCCTCTTTGGGCATATTTCTTAATTTAACAACATAATATTCTGAAATGGTACTCTCCACATTGGAAAACGATGCTAAATGGATACCCAGTATGTCACAAATATCACAACAAACATTTCTAACCAAGCATCGGTGTCTGTTGAGATAGGGAATATGCATGCGTTTACTTCAAAGGCCTCATTCTATTTCTGACACGTTTCATTCCTACCCGGTTACCAGACATAGTTAGACCCCATTCCAGAGCAAAATAATGTGGAACCACACACTAAACCTCTCTGCTGTTGGTCCCTATTTGATGTGTACAAGTGGATTATCCAGTATAGTGAGGTACTAAATGGAATAATCAGGGGAGAACAAACATCTAAATTGTCAGCATATCAGGCATGATGGTACATGATACAGGCTTTGTATTTGTGAACACATTACTTATGCCACTGGAGCTATCACATCTATTTAACTGATGGGGGTAGGGAGGGTAGCTTTAAATGCCGTTATGCATGTTCAAAAAATAACACAGAACGATCAAGAAAACCTGAGAGAAATTAACTGTATACAGTATCCTAAAAGCTAGGCCATTCAGTCGGTGCCTTGAAACCTAAAATTAAAACAGAATAACTGACTTTGATGGAAATCCCACATATTAACTGCTAACAGGAATCTTTTTTTTGGCACAATTCTTTCCAGAGGCACAGGGGGATATTTTGGGTTCATTTGCATGTAAAGTGGTGCATGTTCCGTCTGTGGGTTTGAGGTGCCTCCAGACTCCCCCTCCCTTGTAGCCCGCCCGACTGACTCAGTGAGCAGCCCTCACTCTTCCCAACCTGCTGGGCTGGGGCACAACAGCGCAGCACAAAACATCTTAAGGTCCTGTCAATCTCTCCACTGGCCAACTGAGGACAGCCTTCTGAAGAGCAGCAGGTTGGCAAAGACAAACACGAGCCATTCACAAAGACTCCCCTCAGCCAGACAGACAAAAGGCATGGACAAGATATTAAAAAGGTTCACATAGGGTTGCTGAGTATTAAGTGCAGGGGTGGAAATTATTCTGACACTGTATAAGTTTCCAATATGAGAAAAGTATGGAGAGCTAAGATGTGTAGACAAATGTACTGAGTGGCACTTTGTGAAAAAGTCGATGTTGATGGATGTTGATGGAGGTTGCTGGGCATTTCAAGAGAGTGTTGAAACCATCTTATCAGAGTTAATAAAAGGAGAGGGTGTCGCTGGATGACCCATCATCTTTCTTCTCATCAGTGTGGTCTCCAGTCTCACAGCAGTGGCTAGAGGAGTGGGACCTGGCTCGAAGATTGTGTTTAGATAATGGCCATCTCCAATCATAGATAATCTGGCCCCATCTTTTCTTCACAGACACAGCAGCAGACAAGGTCAGGGGGAAAAAGATTCCTGGCGAGGCAAGGCGGAGATAGGGATGGGGCGGCTCTGAGATGATTTACTGCTGAGATTCACTCAGCTGCCTCCATCACCCTCCGTTAACTTTCTCATCCTGTCGTCTCTTCCCCTCTTGCTCTTTTTGTCTTCCATCTCTCACTCTCTTGCATTTCTCTGTGGGCCTTGTACTGAATCCCCATTTCTGTATCACTTGCTTCTTCTCCTACTTTACTCTGTTTTGCAAATGGTAGATGGACAAAGAAAGGGTAAAGTGGTTATATGGAAAGATCTATTGTAGAGATGCATTTTTCATTTTGGATTTTAAGTCAATTTTCTTAGGTTTCAAGTGCCTTTTCCTCCAATGACCACAGACCAATTGACAAAAAAACAAACAAACAAAAGAACAGGGTGCCGAGTACATTCAAAGTACACTGAGTAAATGTTAAATTGTCATAGTTGTGATAAGAGACAGATTAAAAGGCAGCTAAGCTCCCCTACAATGCTAAGTTCTTTCTTGAAAATCTAAGGAAAATATAAAGTAGGCATGAGCCATTGTAATAGACAGCCAGAGAATGTGCTCTATGATCCACAGCGGTAGCCTATTGGCACTATGGTGTGGTGCTATGGCCCCCTACCAGCCATTCTTTGAGCACTGATTTTTATTTCTCCTCCTGACACTCCCATATCCCCAGGGAGAGGACGTCTCTCAGGGACAGTGTGCACAAAAGAAGTGCTACCAGAGTCTCCAAATGGAGTAATGGGCCCTAATGTCTGCACAGGCACGTAATCGAGACCCTTCCACAAGTTCCCATGACAGATAATTGCTGATGTCTTGGTAGTGATAAATGTGACTCCATTCTAGAGGTGCAAATGTCCTGGTTCAGCCCTGGATTTGACAGTCTAAAGGCCCCACTGGGATTGGTGTACCTGACTGGTCCTGAGCCTTCCACAGATGACTCCCTCGCTACTTTCTCACTTTTAGTCAGCCCTAGCAGGGCTGTCTATTTTCCTTTAACCACAAGCCTTCATAGTAAATCTCATTTCATTGTCAGCCATGACTGTGGTTTACTTCCCTGGCCTGTCTGCTGACTTCCTGTTGCCATTAACGCTCAATATCTCTGTTGGGGCCTGTCTGCTCAGTCTTATTTCATTCTGTGCTGTGTCCTATCCTGTCCTCCTATATAGAAAGTTCATCTGACAGACTAGCAGGGGCAGCGTAAAAGCCTTCTGTATTTCATTCAGACTACCTGTTCATCTCCCTTCTCTTTCTGCAGAGAAAAGGGTAGTAATTGATATTGGGACCCATCCATCCTCCCCTCTTAAGCCGAGAGATCCAATTTATCTTGGTAAGAATGCCGATTGGCTCTCTCCCAGGCCTTGTCAGTCAGACTTTTCCTGTTTTTAGATGGCCGTTAATTAAAGTGCTGCCATGACAAAAATAAGATCTGCATGGGGGGGGGGGGTATGGCAATTGAAATGGCCCATCAGACTAACACTTGACCACATAAATCAGCAAAGTGACTCAGTGTAAACTGACCTAGGCAGTCTAAATCACCACTCTGAAATGAAAGCACGGGGCTGACACAGACCTGTTCGGTTAGATCAAATTCAGCCCACATAAATCTTTTTTTTAAACTTAATCTGCATTATTCTCAGTGATGTTAGTCAAAAGGGACATTAGAATGATCTAGTCAATCACCATGAAAGTCAAATTAGTGATGATAGAAAGCTGTGCAAAAGAATCTGCACAATGTTAAAGCAGAATGTGATGTTTTGATATCACAATTCGTTAATTCATACCACAATTCATACCTTTTCGTACTAAGCAAAAGACATATCCATTGAGTTCTACTGAAATGCTCACATCACATAATGGAAATCATTGAAAATTACTTAATTTAACTTTACATGGTTCCATTTATCAGTGCTATTATATGCTATTTATGAGGCAGATAAATTGATAGGAATATAGACAAGTAAAAAGACAGGTTAGTGAATAGGTAGGTAGATAAGTCTATCTGAGGTAATGCAGAGTTTTCATAGAGTGATAGAAGGTGTTACTATCAACTACTGTAGTCATGCTCTTATTTTAGGATAAAACACATTATGGCTATACCACAAATGTTCCAAACGTCTTAGATCATGATACCTCAAAATGGTATTCGGTCGTAGTGCTGAGCCAGTTGACATGTTTTTAAGTTCTGACTCATCTATGTATGTTTGGACAATATTTTCCTCTTAATATTGACTTTAAAATCAGGAATAAAGATTATTCCCTCCCTATTCTTTTCTATTTTCTCAATATTTTATTTCGTTCCATGTCTTTCTATCTTGCCTTTGAACTGCTCCCAGTGACTATAAACCTGAGAAAGCCCCTCTGCTGGCACAGACTGGAAGTCAATAGAAGCAAGTGACCTATATTACAGGCTAGTCTACTAACTCCTGGTATTTTCTCAAGTGAGAGCAGACTATTAGGGATTACATGAGTGCTATTTCAGTGTATTTGTGTTTTTACATGTGTGTGTTTTCTAATGGGGGGGTGGGGGTGCAACAGAGACCAAGAGAAGGTTAATTACCTCCTCGTCCTTCGCTGTCAGCAGGTTTCACCTGGATGGGCCGGTTCATCTGGAGAGAAAGGGAAAGAAGTAGATGGAGAGAAAGAAAGAGTGAGAAGAAAGAAAAGGGAAATCCCACGTTAGCTGGAAACCATATAAGGTGCAAGATGTTGCAATGTTCCTGGTGTTAATGTCCTGAGTTTGTCCTCCTCTGTTAGCTAAACACAAAAATCAAATGGTGAAGATGGCATAAAAAGAGATAAATCTGTCCAGTACTCCATGCCAGCATGTTTAATTAATCCAGGGCACTGCCTCTAGAGATGCCTGAATTCCCCTCACAGTTCAGCAGAATTAGCACTTTTCAATGACGGAGCCACACTGGGTGTCAGATGGCACTTGGAGATTAATGCCATTACATCAGCCACTCCCAGCCCCACCGGGAGAGGTCCTTTCTGGCTGGCCCTTGCTCTTCCTGTCCCCTCCTGGCTCCAGACTCCCAGTCACCAGCTATATCCTGCTCATTCCTGACCCTCAGCAATCCCTCTTTTCTGCCTGCATCCCCTCCTCCCCTTTCGCATCTCTACCCAGGAGCCCTTTTGTGACTTACAACCAATATGCTACTGGTCTGGTCAGCCAACTCCACCCTTCCCAAGCACCCTCCTTGTGCTAGAGCCTCCGAACGGCATAGCTATGAGCTTCTGAAAGGTTAACAGTAGGGAATTAATTTCATAGTG